TGCAATTATATTGTTTAAAATGAATGAAATGTCGACGTCTGACGTTTCGGTTTAATAAACCTTTTTCAAGACAATATTCATTAAAATACAATTCAGCTCAATATGACAAAGACGATGGACATAAACAACAAGTCTTATCCAAAACAGATAACTGAAAATTTTAAAATGATCAGCTTTCCGTTTAGCATGGTCACGTTGTCGTCACATGGGCGACGCTTTCAAAACGTATTCCTAAAAATTTTGATTATTTTGAATGAAAAAAAAATGAAAAGAATTCTATTAGGATCTAAAATTTTTATGTGTATGCTTGTCGAGCATTAATCTCGCTAAAAAAGGGGAAATATTAAAGAAACCAGGTCTAGTATTCACCGTGCGCGAGATGGATATTATACCTGCTTCATAAATCCTCCTGAGATTTTTATTATGAAAATATTTTAATACCTTCACGGAGTCGAAATCGAAATTATGATTTTCTTTTTCATTCAAAATAATCAAAAATTTTTAGGAATACGTTTTGAAAGCGTCGCCCATGTGACGACAACGTGACCATGCTAAACGAAAAGCTGATCATTTTTAAAATTTTCTGTTATCTGTTTTGGATAAGACTTGTTGTTTATGTCCATCGTCTTTGTCATATTGAACTGAATTGTATTTTAATGAATATTGTCTTGAAAAAGGTTTATTAAACCGTAACGTCAGACGTCGACATTTCATTCATTTTAAACAACATAATTGCATTTAAGGATTTCTGTTTGTTTTTTCCAAAAAAAAATATTTTTTCTTCATTCTGTCGGATCTATATCCATTTACATTTGCTTACATATATATATATATATATATATATATATATATATATATATATATATTCTATCTTCCTAATTGTTATCTTTTTATTTTCCTCTCATATTCTCTAACACTCAGTAACACCTTGCGTTCTAGTAACTTTATTGCTTTGCTTGAGAAATATCATTAAGATAGATAGATAGATAGATAGATAGATAGATAGATAAGTGGACATTGATACAGAGGCGACTGTTTGTTTTATGCTAAACGCAATCGTCAGGCCATATATATGGAATTAATGCAAATATAAAGTTTGTCATTTCCCTGATTGGTGCTGCCTTCAGCATCTAGTATCCAGCATTTCGGAGACGAGCCCTCCAGAATCACTCTGTCCATTCGTTAGGGGGATCTGCAATTATATTACAATCATATGTAGTAACTTTTTCACATCCGGAAAGGAAACGTATTATTCTTTGCAATGTAAAATACATTTATCGGTTGAACAGCAGTCCAATCATTGCATAGGAAAAAAAAGAAACCCGTTCGCATTGTAGTCATACAAAATTTAATTATCTGCCTCTCAGTCAGCTATAATTTATATATATTTCGAAGGTAAAAAATGCATTATACGAAAATTTAGCAGAGGTACGAAATATAATCCACCTCTCTAGTTGATAGTAATCTTTATAATCGATACATCTACGACAGACTTCCATTTTCTCTCACCTATTCGTGCGCGAATCACATCGTTGAAACAATTTATGACCAAGCCAACTAACAAGTAAAACATTAATTCACTTGTCTTTTGTATGTCTGCTAATGTGCATCTCATTCTCTCCATGAATAAAGTATTTTTACTTTCATTTATGTAAATAATATCTCAAACATATATATGTCCGTAATTTTATTCATCTGTGTGCTTAAGTGTTATATCGCGTGTATAGTAATTCTATATTGGAATGGCAAGATATATTGTATTTCCAGCAACTATTTCTTTAGCAGTAATCATCTGTATAAAATAGACGTTCCAAATTAAACAACTGAACGGCGAGGGGTGTGTATGTTGGATATCCGAAATCTAAAACAGGAGTCAAATCCTCCAAATTTCTTAGCGTCAATTATGTAGTCTGGGTTAAGGAAAAACTGTCAATCATTAATTTTGTAAAAAAAAAAAACAACTATATGGGAGAATTAAATCTACTGAAAAAGCATTGCCTCTATTTGGAATCGTCATTATTGTGCTTAATATCCAATGTCTTTCCAGATATCGAAAACTTAAGATATAGAAAATCGATCCTCACAATTTGCGCCATGATGTTAAAAAAAGGAATTACAAACAATAAAATATGTACTGAGCTATTTTACGATCTTAGAAGTAAAATGAAAAGTAAAGAAAATTTTGTTTCTTCTTTTCGAATTTTCAGGGGAAATTATGCTTCTCAATTATTTTTCATAATAAATAAAAACGGTTGGATTTTCATTCCAATTATTGTATGTGATGTCCATTGTTAGCATAAAAAATATATAACGACTATATTTATATGATAGAAAATCATTGATTTTGTCTTGTTTTTGCTAAATATCTTTAGACAAGCAGAAAAGATTTATTTGATTGTGAGTCTTTCAGTAATGACCTTTAAAGAGAGGATGATTATTTCATAAATTGTTTCGATAATTTTGAGACTAAAATTAGGAGATTCATTAAACTAAAATGTGCCTGTGAATAAAGAAAGAAAGAAATTTTCTAATTTGGAGATTTTCCGTTGACTTTTGTCTGCGTTTAACTGGGGTTTTACTTATTTTCTCCATTTCTTAACTTCCACTCCCTCTCCTTCATTTTTTTTCTTATAGCTTTTTTTATCTTATATGTATGTGTATATCTACTTACACCGATTCACTTTCCATTTTCAAATATTTCCGTTATCTATTGATTACTTTCTCTTTTAGATTTCTTTTTATATATATATATATATATATATATATATATATATATATATATATGCAGACACACATACATACATACATATATATATATATATATATATATATATATATATATATATATATATTAACTAATTTTAAAATATGGTTCCTCCGCTACAGAGGAATTATCATGTTTCAAAAAACCGAAGCTAAAAACTTCTAATTTAATTATATAATTAAATTAAAAGCATTAGTTCTGTTTCATATTCAAGCAAATTTTGGAATAACTTATTTTTTAATTTACTGAGTTTTAAACGCACGTACAATTCATAATTTTTGTTTCCAAGGATACAGAGAAATCCAATCATTTCGACAGGGGAGATAGCGTGTTTATTTTTATTAAGTATTATTGTATCAATTATGCTCTATGAATTTACATTGAGCACTGTTTTGTAAAAATAAAAGAACACTGGATTATATATCTTACTGTTCTTTCTTTTTAATATAATATATATATATATATATATATATATATATATATATATATATATATATATATATATACACAAAATATGAAAAATATTTTTACAAAGTTTGGAGGCGAACTCCTGACAAAGTCCATATGAAGATATGTCCGAATATGCTTCGTTTTTGAGTTATTACATTTAAAGAAAGTTTACGGCAGATGGCACTGTGTTGTCACGTAGACGAGTTTATATTTGTCATTCGTGTACATTTGTGGTTAGTCTGTTTTCAACGTCTAACGTGTGGAGTTGTGAGAGAATTGAGAAGTGTTCCGTTTAACAATGGCAGGATATTCATATCGTGAGCAAGCAGTTAAGATTTTTACGTACGGACGCGCAAATGGTAACGGACACGAGGCTGCACAGCTGTTTCAGATTGCGTTTCCAAACCGAATTTGGTCTCCAACTTTTCACTCGTTTCTAGGAGGGGTGGACAAAGTGATATTTTATTGAAGTTAGTTTCAAAAATGGACTTTTATTCACTTATTCAGGCACAGGACCTAAATCATTGAGCACTCTTTGAGGATTAATTTGCTATCAGTGACTTGACTAACCTTCTGGTAGGAACTCGATTATGTATGAAGCAAACTGAGATTAATTTGGTACAAGACCATTCTGGAGAGGGGGACGCCTAATACAGATAAAGCTCGCTACACATTAGTAATAGTTTATGAGACTACCAGAATTAGTTGAAACCTGATAATAGTATTTTAGATATCAATTTCTCTTCCAGAAATCACACTGCACTTTTATCTCAATGACTGAGTTATCGTTACTATTTCATTTCAAAATAGGAATAATGTCAATCACATTTACATAACACACCTTGTTTTGTTGTGAAGAACCCGCCACCAATGTTTGTAAAGCTATTTTTGATACACCCTGTATATATGCATATAATAAGTTCACCTCTTAGGCACCTCGAGACGGTTTAATGGTTAGCAAGCTTGTTCCGCTAAAACAATTACGACTGAGTAGTGAGTTCGATCCTCACTGGGTGCACCCTACTTTCGGCCTTGTGTCACATCTACTGGGCACCTTAGTGATGTAATGGTTAGCAAGCTTGTCTCACTAGGACAATTACGATTGAGTAGTGAGTTCGATCCTCACTGGGTGTCCCATACTTTCGGCCTTGTGCCACATCTACTGGGCACCTCGAAGTGGTGTAATGGTTAGCAAGCTTGTTTCGCTAGAACATTTACTACTGAGTAGTGAGTTCGATCCTCACTGGGTGTCCCATACTTTCGGCCTCTTGTCATATCTAATCTACTAAACTTGGAAAATCACTTTAATAAATCAGATTTCATTATGCAAGTCAATGTTTCCTCAATAAAATTGGTAACATTTCCGAGGTATATTTATGATGAATATACCCAGTGAATTTCAACTTCTAATGTTTTTTATTGGAAATATTTACAATAACTTACTTGATATTGTAAAATAAATATAACAGTATAGTTAATGATATTATTTTTGTAAATGTTACAAATAGATAGACTGCAGATGTATCGTAAGAAATATATAATGCCAAAAAGGATATTATAGTTATTGATTGGAGGGAAGACAATGTTAGAAATTGCAAAAAAGTTAAACAGAGATCATAGGACAATCAAAAAAGAATAATTTGGCTATAAGAATATGGTAAAATGAGATTTGAGAATAATTAAAAGAAAAGTAATGTAGATAGTAAAAAAATATCGGAAAAAGATGGCGGGGCAAATATAAACAGAAAAAATGAAGAATATTAAGAGAATATTAAGAGCCAAAAACATGAAAGCAAACAAGCGGCCAACTTTAAAAGCATTCTTCTTCTTCTTCTTCTTCTTCTTCTTCTTCTTCCTCCTCCTCCTCCTCCTCCTCCTCCTTCACCTCTTCTTCTTCTTCTTCCTCTTCCTTTCTTCCTCTTCTTCTTCCTCTTTTTCCTCTTCTTTTCTTCCTCTTCTTCTTCCTCTACCTCTTCTTCCACTTCCACTTTCTCTTCTTATTCTTCCTTCTCTTCTTCCACCTCTTCTTATTGTTCTTCCACTTCCACTCCTTTTTCTTCCTCTTCTTCTTCTATTTCTTCTTCCTCCTCCTTTTTTCCTCGTTCTCTTCTTCCTCTTCTTCCACTTCCACTTTCTCTTCTTCTTCTTCCTCTTCCTCTTCTCTCTCTTCTTCTCCTCCTCCTTTTTATTCTTCTTATGCCTCTTCTTTTTCCACATCTTCTTCTTCCTCTTCCTCTTCCTCTTCTTCTCTTCTTCTTCCTCTTCTCCTTCTTCCTCTTTTCCTTCTTCCTCTTCTTCTTCCTCTTCTTTCTCTTCTTCTCTTCTTCTTCCCCTTCTCATTCTTCCTCTTCTTCCTCTTCTTCTTCTTCCTCTTCTTTCTCTTCTTCTTCCTCTTCTCCTTCTTCCTCTTCTCCTTCTTCCTCTTCTTCTTCTTCCTCTCCCTCTTCTTCTCTTCTTCTTCGTCTTCTCCTTCTTCCCCTTTTCTTTCTTCCTCTTCTTCTTCTTTTCTTCTTCCTCTTCTCCTTCTTCCCCTTTTCCTTCTTCCTCTTCTTCTTCTTCCTCTTTTCCTTCTTTCTCTTCTTCTTCTTTTTTTCTCTTCTTCTTCTTCTTCTTCTACACCTTCTTCTTATTCTTCTTCTATGTACTGTGTCACTTCAGGACGTTGGCAATCATGGCTCTCCACAATTTCCCTTCATTTGTAGCGCTTTATAAATTTTGTCCACCATCTATTCATTCAAGTTCACCAGTTAGGTTCCTGTATCGTTTCCCTCTCTCCATTTTGTCTTCAATCTGCCCTGTGAGTATTCAATATCCCAAGTGCTCTTTCCTCATCATGTGCCCTAGAAATTTCAACTGTCTCTTCCTGATGTTAAATATAACTTACCTTTTTCCATTGTCTCTAGATGCTCACATGTTCGGTTTATGGTATTCTTATCATCCTTCTGCAGAATCACATTTCTCTTGCTGAGGAGGTTGTCCAGCATTTACTGCCATATAGGAGGACTGGTATTACATAACAGTTCAGTACTCTTTTCTTTGTTTCTCTTGCTTCAAGTCTCTTCTTCATCTGTGAGGAGATTGTCCAGCATTTACTAACGAAACTTTTCAGTTTCTTAATACTTTATTAAGTTTTTGGAAAGATACTTCCGCTATCCCAATGCGTATTGGGATTTCCGTGTCACGCTTTCCGTCCCGTGTTTAAACGCTTTCCAAATATTTAAATTGCTGTACTTGTCTGATTTTGTTATCTCCTATTTGTTGAGTTGGGGTTTTTTGGATTTTTTTAACGGATATACATTCAGTTTTTTTTCGCAATTAGTGTTTAGTCCTTTCTTCTCGCTTTCCTTCACTACCTTTTGCAATATTTCTTGTAGTTTCCTTTCCATAGCTGAAATACAAATAAAAAGTATGAATTGTATGCAAACTGATTTTTTTTAATCAAGTTCACCCCAAGCAAGGTAGTAAATCCACTAAGGCACAAGGGGGTGGTGGGTGTGAAAAACAGAAACATTACTAAGGAGCGAGTACAGAAGAAGTATAATCAGGAGGCTAGTAGATAGCGATTGACATTGCATTTAAATTTTTGAAGACTAAAGGGCGTTACACAAGCGAGAAGTGCGAGAAAAGACACTTTAAGTATAGATCTTACGGTTACAACTAGTCAACTAAACATTGTATTGAAGAGAAATCATCGTCAGTCAAGTACTGCGCTTGAATCTCATCCGAACAATTGGCATGAATGAATTTATAGAAAAGACACAGGGAGGCAACCTTATGGCGTTGAGAAAGTAACTGGAGCCGAGCCGCCAGATCAGGACCGATAATTTTGCAAATTCTTTTGGGATTTTATCAAGGAGCTCAAGATAAATAGCAGGGGCACCAGACCATATGTGGCAGCAATATTCTAAGTATGGACGATAGATTCGGGAGAGAAAAATTGTCTCGCACGACACAGTGAATTCATATAAAATTGCTATCTATATATGCTTTACATACACAGACACACACACACACACACACACACATACACACATATATATATATATATATATATATATATATATATATATATATACTACTGATATCCATATCTCAGTTCATATTTCTTTCTATCACAATGGCATTGTTTCTCTTCCTTCACACAATCTCTCTGCATATATTGTTCACTCTCTCTCTTTTTCTCTCTCTCTCTTTCTCCCTCTCTCTTTCTCTCTCTCTCTCTCTCCTTTTGTCTTTCTGTCTTTCTTTCTCTCTTATTCTGTCTCTCTCTTTTTCTCTCTCTTTCTCTTTCTCTCTTTCTGTCTCTCTCTATTTTTCTCTCTCTGTGTCTCTCTCTCTGTCTCTCTCTTTCTGTCTCTCTACCTTTCTCTCCCTGTTTCTGAACACAGGAGAAATTTCACCTCCCAGGACACCACAAGAACGTCATATTTTATCAGAGATTTACATTTATTAAACGTCATATTGACCTTCATCTCCTCCGATGTATCTATCATTCAATTTTGAAAAAAAATTACAACCAGGGAAAATGGCACTATTTACATTATTCGGAAAATTGTCTCCTCTTTGTGGCCATAATTATTACAACGTCTCGAGCATTGTACGCTCCAGCCTTCTTCAGCTTGTTGGAATGTCGAACTGAACATTTTATTTCGCTCACTGGGATAGACTGTTCTAGTTCTACGTGCCATGTCTAATGGGTATCAGTTATCAGTTATCTCCTATTAATTGCCCTCTCCAAGTTTTCTACCGCCTTAACCAGGTATTGAACTCACAAATTTTTGGGCCCTGTCACTGTTCTGAGATAAGGTACAATGGCCGAAACGTTGTAATAAATATGGCGACAAAGATGAGGACAATAGTCCGAATAATGTAAATAGTGTACATAATACCTCATCCCAGAAATATAGACAGATACAGGGAAAAGGGTTATTGTAATCTATTTATTATTTTCCATGTACATTTTCATTCTAAAATGTGCAAAAATTTGTCTTTCGCAATTGACTTTGCCGCGAAAAATGCAGGCTGGAATGTCTGAATAGTCGAGATACTTGTTTGAGTAAAAAATTGGCGCCATTGACCCGATGTCGAGACGGAGACGTGAAGAGCATTGAAATTGATTTCTGAGATCAATGTCTTCTTTGTAGATTGCTTTGGTGCTTTGCAAAGATGGGCAGGTAGGGTTTGTGGAATAGACGCCAAAATGGCCGTTTTTGCTTCCAGGCAAATGCACCCTCTTTTCAACTGAGATATACTCTTTGGATTTGGCATATTATCTGATAAATACAGAAGTCCAATACAAGAACTATTGCATAGACGAGAAGATTAAAAAGATGCAAAAGAACAACTCTGTAGGCGTCTATTGTGAGATGTGTCTGCCTTGGCGGCACAAAAGTTGACGCAAATGGTAACGATTCGAAAATGATATCACTACACTCATTATTACTGACAATATTTGGTCCAATCGCTAGTCATCTCAATCAATATAAAGAACGATGTCATATTCAGAAATAAGTGATCACTACATGTCATAGAATGATGGTTTATAAATTCGTCTTGCAAATTGTTGCGAGAAGTTACTTTCATCTTTACCGAATGTCCAGCTGTTTTATCCTTGTGTCTAACTAAACTAAACTTCATGAATATAAAAAAAAATGCACCCGTTTCTTTTGTCACCAGTATCATTTGCATATTTACCATGAATTACACTTTATGACGATAAACTACATCCAGCAACAAGTCCTCGGATCGGGAGATTGGAGGTTTTCAGTAGCATGGAACCACCTCTTAATTGCTGTGGTTTCCAGGCCCACCCTGACCCAGTGTGGTAGCACCTGTTAGGGTCCCGGCTATGGGTAAATAGTGGTGACCCAAACAAAAATCAACAGTACATTTTATAGTAAAATTAGCAGCGATACATTTTATTGCAAAACGACAATCAAGACAACACAAAAAATAATACATTTTTATAGCGAAATTACCAGCAATACATATTTGTTTTTAAATTACCAACAATGCACTTTTTAAAATTGCTAACAATCATCTATATTTATCATCTACAAACTATATATACAGTATTGTGCAAATGAATTGAAACAACCGCTTTAGTTTCCTTTTTTTCACCATACAGTTAGTTTAGACCCATTGGACTGACAGGGTGTAATCGATTTCTATTTTTTCTCAGGTTAGGTCTTTTTCAGTGGTGTGCAGTAATACGAATCTATTTTTCGATGTGTATGATGAAATTTATTTGGCCTTGATAAATATTGCGTAATCCGTGATTGCATCAGATATGTATCACGCTCAGACACTATTGTCTCGACTGTCGATTAGTTGTCCTACGGCCATTGTAATGATGCAGGAACACAATAGCATACCTTACCAGTGAGCCAATCAAAGTACTATAGACTGACCAGGAAACTATCCTGATTTAAAATCAACCAAAAGTCTGTGGTCTATCTGCAATGAAAGATTTTGTGGAATGGACATACGAAGAACTAATATGTGCACTGCGTCATGTTTCATTGGAAAAATACGAAAAAATTAAATAATAACGGAATAATTCGTTTTGTTTCAATTAATTAAAGGGTGTATATAAAAAAAAACATACGTTTGCCATTATAGTATAAAATTATATACAAAATGTTGAAGGGATAAAATTGCGTACAAAATATTTAGATTTCGGAATTAAATAACCCACAGAGGTGTTGATATGCCGCCAAACAATCCGTTTTAATACAATTTGAATTTTGGTCGCTACAAAATATCTTGAAAAATGTAATATTTTTCTATGACTTTTTCTTCCTTTGAACAAAACCTGCAAATATTTTTAGACGGAACTGAAATGAATCAACTTCGGAAAAAAAGAAATGAAACAATTCTTTTTTACCTTTCCAGAGTTTCACCTAAAGGGTAGGACTAAATTGATCATGTCTGTCTGCAATCGTATTAAGTTTATTCATATCTTTACCTATTTGAACGTTTCAATATATGGAATTATTGATGGATGGCAGTCGTGCTTATCTATGTATCTATTTACGCCAGCCTCTTCACTAAACAGTCATTTGTAAAAAATCACTCGACATTTTAGATGTAAAATACTGTTATATTATTCTATATACGTATGTACATTGTATGTTCAAATGTAGATATACATATTAGTTTTATATTGATTATATGGGTTATGCATTCACATCGTCATAAATATATACAAATAAAGCAAATATATATATATATATATATATATATATATTTAAGTAACAAAAATCTTGGTAATCCGTATGGATAATCCCAAGGGGGATGAAATCCGGAGAGCTGAATGTTAAGTCAGAGCGATTAATTTAATTTAAAGAAAAAACAAACCACATTAAAGTTCCATTAGTGAAGTCTGAAGATCCAGAGAAAAATAAAACTCTGGTGAAATAAATTATAACTAATGGAACCTTAAAGTGTGGTCTGTTTTATATATATATATATATATATATATATATATATATATATATATATATATATATATATATATATATATTACCTATATATATATATATATATATATTACCTACTATATATATATATATAATAAATCCTTTGGTATATAATCCAAGTGAATTCTTGTTATATCAAATATTAAAACCGATCCACAAAAAGAGCTCAGTGCATTTATTATAACAGCGCATATAAATTACACAACAAAATCTAAAATTACTTCACATGAATATAGATCTCTTTCAACCAACGCGAAGTGCGGTAGTCTTCTTCAACTGCGGTGTATGGACTGTGTTCAGTGTCGGAATTAGAGATTTAAATTTTACCTTTGATAGCAGTCAAAATATTGATACAGAACCTACCCAAAATAATATATATATATATATATATATATCATTTAAAGAAAAAACAGACCAGTTTAAGGTTCCATGAGTCATAATTTATTTCACCAGAGTTTTTATTAAGAGAGAGAAAGAGAGAGAATTAACAATAATTTTATTTATCATGTTTTATAGTAATGTAATATGGTATATTCCAATATAGTTTTCAGCTTGATCCACATCTTGAAATCTGTCCAGACGTCAGAATTTTTCAGAAAACTCCTTCTTGCTCGGGCCGAAAACCTTTCAGCATCCCTTCGTATATACATTTATATACTTACTTATAGAATAACTTGGAATTTTCATTAAGATATACCTTTCCATTTCAATTAGTATACATTGTTATGATCCCAACGTTTCAACTGTTGATTTCTCGGGCCTTTCTCGTACTTTCTCGGAATTTTAATCCAGATTTATTCAATCCAGATTAATTAAAGAAACGACATCTCATAACTTTACGAACATTAGATTTAAACTTTCAACCCAGTTGTCTACGAGACAAAATGGCAAATAGCTTAAAATGTTGGTCACAACTGTTTCTCTGGCAATCGGCGGTCGGTGATGTCTAAAATGTCAAATATTCTGATTCAGTGAAAGAAACTTCAAAAGACACAAACGATGAAATAGACTAAAGAGAATTTACGGATACAAGTTATCTACACGTAAACATGGAAAATAGAAGAATACTGTTTACGACAAACATCTGAAGAATGTCAGGGAGTTATGAGTGTAACAACCAAAATGATCATACTACCTGGAATTAAAAGGCAGGTAATACGTCCAAATTATCGGAGCGAGTTGCTGATATTTAAGACTATAAATGTTCGGATGTTAATGAAATGCAGGAACAGATTCTAGTGGAAGTATACAATATATATATATATATATATATATATATATATATATATATATATATATATATATTTGGTTGATAGATGTGACCCCTGGGTTTCACGCTTATATATATATGTTTGGTTTGGTTTGGTTTGGTTTGGTTTGTTTTACGGCATGACAACCTCTATGGGTTATTTAATGCCGACAAGATTTTTATTGCTGGTTTAATTTTTATCTATCTATCTATCTATCTATCTATCTATCTATCTATCTATCTATCTATCTCAGTATGTATTGGTTTGGTTTGTTTTGTTTTACGGCATGACAACCTTTAATGCCGACAAGATTTTTATTACTAGTAACACTTTTTTTCCAAAAATGTATTGCTGGTAAAATGATTTCTGTTATGGAAACTTCTTTTTACGCTTTCATAGTGTTTTGACCCCAGTGTGGGGGTTAATTATTTGCCAATAGCTGGGACCCTGGCAGGTGCTACTACGCCGAGTCAGGATGTACCTGGAAACCCCAGCAATTAAGAGGTGGTTCCACGCTCCTCAAAACCTTCTGATCAGAGGCCTTGTTTATCGTCTCACCCAGGACACGGGTGTAATTTATCGTCATACCCAGGACGGAGTATATATATATATATATATATATATATATATATATATATATATATATATATATATGTGTGTGTGTGTGTGTGTGTGTGTGTGTGTGTGTGTGTGTGTGTGTGTGTGTGTGTGTAAATTACTTTCCAGATAGAGTGTATATGTAACGGCGCAAAATGAATGAAAAGACAAGAGGAAAAATTATTCTTAGCCAACGTGTTTCGTCCTCTGAAGGACTTTATCAGGTCAAATGTAAGAATTTATTTTGTTGCATGTGTTTATATACAAGAGCAAGGATGTCATTGGTTTATCCAGCCCTTAAAATCTGAGGACGTTCATGAATATTTATCAGAGGGTTGAAGTGTCAGTCAAAACATATATGGAGGACACAAAGTGCCATAATTCAAAATCTGATAAGGCAAAAGTAAACGAATAATATTCAAGAAAAATGCTCCCATCCCAAACCATAACAAACTGATGAAAATTTAAACAATATTCATTTATGATATATATTATGTGTGTGTGTGTGTGTGTGTGTGTGTGTGTGTGTGTGTGTGTGTGTGTGTGTGTTTAGTGTCAGGTTGAAAAAACATTTACTTTACACAGCAAATATTTATTTTCAAATCATTACCTTCTTCTTTGATAATGCACTTAATCCAGCGCGTCTGCCATAGTTCACAACTATGGAACATTATTATACAGTGAATATTTTCTGTATATCTTCGAAAACGGTTCCGAAAAATCAAAACTCAACCAAGAAGCTCTTCCCCTGACTCAAATTCTGATGTTTGGGAAGTTCGGCCGATTTTGGCAAGTGAACCTGACCGAGAACTTTTCAAACCACTCCCTTGTATGACGTGATTCTCTCCCGTCGTTGATCCGTTCCTACCGGGAATTCTTTGACGACATATGAGGGACAGGCAACTCAGTTCCGAGGGACGATATGATTTGATTAGAGTGGGGAAGGTTTTGTGTAGAACCAACCACACTTTTTGAAGAGCTGAATACAAAGCCCTGGTGCAACACGTACAAGAAGATCCCCAAACGACCCTCCGCATGATTTGAATTCAGAATTCTGCTTCTCCCAGAGCCGCTATCCATTACTCCACCGTGAATCTAAGGAGGCAGGGTGGAGTAATGGATAGCGGGTCGGATTGAGGAATCGGAAAGGCGAGTTCGAATTCCAGTTGAATCCATTACATTCACTTACATGTTAATACCCTTGGGAAAGGTATGAACCCGGTAAATAGCAGGATAGACCGGGTTCTATAGAAACTGCTCTACCGCAGAAAGAAATAGCAACCTACTGCGTGAAAAATCTGCCTGATCAGTCATGTAACGAAAGATATATGATCGCCTAAGCGTGTATCACGCATGGCAAATAAATGACTGACTGCTTCTCCTAGACCAGTTGCTATCCAAGGCTATAGAACTCAGTCTTTACCCATAGCTGAGGGGAGAAGAGGACATACCTTTCCCAAGTGTATTAGCACGTAAGTGAATATATATATATATATATATATAATTTATTGGAAAATTATAACATAAATATGTTATACCGATTTTGTTTCAACACTTCTGATGTCTTATCAAGTGATTGTGTTGAATGTCTATATCATATTATATATATATATATATATATATATATATATATTATATATTGTGTTGAATGTCTATATTATATTATATATATATATATATATCAATTATATACTTGAATGTCTATATATATATATATATATATATATATCAGTAATATAGTTGAATACATATATATATATATATATATATATATATATATATATATATATATCAATTATATTTGCACTCTTTTGAAAGTAGTATTTTTTGTTTATTAGAATTTATTCCGTATACACCAATCCTATATTTGGGTTTTTTCTCTTATTTCTTCTCTTAAGTCTTATATCTTATCTCTTATTTATCAATTCTATGGAAGCGCATTAGCGTAGATATTCATCGTAAAGCTACGCAAACTCAACATCAATTCCATTCGAACAAATCAGTGGTTGAACAGTTAGTTGCTGAGAATTCTGATTACTATAGTTGATCGTCATCTTCAATTGCTCAATGATTTAAACCTTCCCCTCCCTCTGATTAAATTCGGACCTCGCTAAAAATCAATAATAAAGAATGTCTCCACCCGCCAACTTTGTGTCACTCAATCACGGCAGAAACTTCTTTGAAACATATTTTTTCATCAAATGTAGCATTCCATACGTTTTCTTTTAGAATGAATTTGATTGGTTTAAACTTGTCTTTACACTTTTGCTTTTTTTTTTTTTTTTTTTTTTTTTTGCAGTGGTCAGCGAATAGAGACGAATGAGACAATCACCCGATGTTGCGTTGGATTGAGTATCGATCTGCTGAAAATCCTTAGTGATCGTGTTGGATTCGATTATGAACTCTTTGAAGTCGAGGACCGGATTTGGGGGTCACGGGTCAGTTTCTTTAATTTCTTTTCTCGATTGCTTACAATCATTTTTTTATTATTATTATTCTTGAAGTCGGCACCTTCCTTCACAACGTGAAAGGCACTAATTTAATAAACGCATGTGATATATACCGTACCTTTAAAAAGAGTGGATAATACAACGTTAATAACGACAGATAGGGCGAGTAGCTAAAGTTGCTGGTTAATTCCTACCGACACACCTGATGAAAGTCAGGATTTTGATTTGATTTGGGGTTTTTTAACGGCATAACAACACTTTATGAGTCATTTAATGCCGAAATTTAATTTTCTTGGCAGCTTTGAAGTAATGAAAATATATGTTGTTCTACTTTCACAGTTGAATACATGGTAGATGATACTCAGCTTTTGTGCATATACATGTTTGTGTGAACATAATTACTAGAGGCAGTAATTCGTGTGTTTTATGTTGTAGTTTGGTTGAAATTATATTTTGAATACAGTTTCATTTAAGAAGTTGTCGGATATTATATGGATTAATGTCATGAAATAGTTCTTTTATGTTGAGTGTTTTCTTAGTTGATTTTGTTTAGCGGCATATCAACCTTTGAGAGTTATTAATGCCGACATGGAAATAAGTTGAACAAGGCTTCAACTCAATATATTTTGAACGCAGTTGTATGCCTTTAACCCCAGATAAAATTGTTGATCATGTTGCTTTAAAAATGTATTGTTGCTAATTTTTCTATAAATGGATATTGTTGCCATTTTTTACATAAAGATGTATTGCTCGTATTTTTTATTATAAATATTTATTTTTATACATTCACAATGTTTTGTTTTTGTTTGGCGAA